TCAGTTGGGCGGCTGACTTCGGCTCAGGGCATGATCTCACAGTTTGTGGGTTTGAGCCCCACGTCAGGCTCTGTGTTGACAGCTCGGAGCCTGGAATCTGCCTCGGATTCTGTGTCTCCCCCATCTCTCTGTTCCTCCCCTGCTTGTTCTCTGTCTCCAAAAAATAAATAAACGTTAAAAAAAATAAAAAATAAAAGGCTCCCTCAAGCATCATTGCTTTATGACCTGAAGAATATATCACACTGTTTCTGTAATGCCATCATGTGCCAATTTTATTTAACAGTATTTATTCAGGACCTATCTATGCATATAAATACTTCATTTTACAAACAAACTATGGGGATGAGAATTCAATATATTGTAACAACAGGCTTCCTCTTTGATACGTTTTAAATACAAGGGCCCATCAGTTAAATTCATTAAAATAATATTTGAGAATTACAGTTCAAAGTCACTACCAGGAACTCTCCACATTTCATTATTGCCACAGTGGCCTGTTGTTTTAACTATGACTTGAAATAAGTTGACCCACTTATTTCAAGTCATAGGCGTTGGGGCGCCTGGCTGGCTCAGTTGGTAGAGCATGCAGCTCTGGATCTCAGGGTCATGAATTTGAGTCCCACACTGAGTGGAGAGAGCATTTAAAAAAAAAAAAAAAAAGAGGGGCACATGGGTGGTTCAGGTCATGATCCCACGGTTCATGGATTTGAGCCCCACGTCCGGCTTTGTGCTGACAGCTTGCTCAGAGCCTGGAACCTACTTCGGATTCTGTCCCTCTCTCTCTGCCTTTCCCCTGCTCACGTTCTCTCTCTCCTTCAAAATAAACATTATTTTTTTTTTTTTTTTTTTTTTTTAAGACAGGCACCTATGTAGCTCAGTGGGTTAAGCATGCAACTCCTGACCTCAGCTCAGGTCACGAACTCGCGGTTAGTTGAGATCGAGCCCCTCATCGGGTTCTGCCCTGACAGTGCAGAGTCGGCTTGGGATTCTCTCTCCCTCTCTACCCCTCCCTTGCTCATGCTCTCTCTCTCAAAATAAGTAAATAAACAGTAAAAAGAAAGAAACAAACTTCCAAGGCCAAAGAGCTAGACTGTGGCAGAGGTGAGATTTGAATTGAGGCAGTTTGAGGCCACAATCCTGCTTTTAACCACTACCTACCCTGCCTCTTGGAAAAATGTAGATGATGATCTACGGGGCCTGGAACATCACCTGTAAAAATCGGGCGTTCTACTTTCTGTCCTGCTCGTACTGAATCTCTGCACTACCAATTCATTTTTGGCAGATGTGCCCTCCCTTGGCAACCCAGCACTATGATTCCCAGTTGAATTTTTGGGCTACCTCACGAGTGACTCCTCTATTGCTCATTCTCTTAATTCTGGTGTTGCGAGAGTGAACCCTAACACGAACTATGGGATTCGGAGATAATGTGTCAATCGATTCTGCCAAAGGGAACATTCTCATAGGGAATGTTGATAATGGAGGAGACTATGCATGAGAACAGGGGCCTTATGGGAAATCTCTGTATCTACCACTCAATTCTGCTGTGAACCCAAAACAGTTCTAAAAAATAAGATTTCTTTTTTTTTTTTTTTTTTTTTTTTTTTAATTCCTATATTGCCCAAGCATCCACTTTTGGCTCTCTTCTCACCCTTCGGCACTCTCCCTGGGTGATCGCCTCCACAACCTTAAGAGAATTCATCCTCCACCCTGAAGCCAGAGTAACTATTCAGAATGGAATTAAAATCTGGTTATGTGACATCTAATTAAAACCTCGCTGGGATCGCTATCGCCTCCGTTAGAAATCCTCCAGCCGGGCATGCGGCCATTCCCTCCCTACGTCCCAAGGTCTCCCGAGGCACTTCGGACACCCCTTGCCTCGCACTTGACGCTTCAAAACACACCGTACAGGTTGTTTCCCCTGCCAGAACGCCCTCGCCTCCCCCAACTCCTGCTCTCGCTTCCAGATCGGCTCCAGCTTGCCTCCACATTCAACTGAATTTCCCAAAGGCAGGCTCCCCTGGGGCAGGAGCAGCCTCCCGCACAGTGGAAAACCTGCCAAGCAGACAGTGCCCCGGCGCCCACTGCCCCCCGGCTCTCCCTGGCCCCCACGTCACGGACCGGGACTCCAAGTCCCAGCATGCCTCGGGGCGGAGATCGCTGGAGAGACCCGGTCCGCCCAGGTGCCCGGCGTCAAGGTGAGGGCGTCCCGAAGACGGGCGCTTTCCGTTAGAAGCAGGCGGGGCCCCTCTCCCAGCCAACACTCACTGACGGACTCCAGTGCCTCCAGCCGCCCCGGAGCCGCGGCCTTTGAACAAGTGGTTTCCAACCCGAAAGAAAGGCGCCAACCGCTTCAGAGCCGACATGCCAGCCCGCGTCCGGATCGCCGTTCCCAGGCCGCACCGCCTCTTACGTCACTTCCCCCCGGCGCCCCGCCCCGTTACGTCATGACGTCGCCCCGCCCGTCTCCCAGAAGGTGGCGTTTGCCGGGGGAAAGGCTTTAGGAGTCTCCCGGCTTCAGGCTCAGCTTTAGGAGACCCTCTTTGCGCGCTTGTGCTGGGAAACCAGCACTGAGTCTGCTCACTCGCTCCTCTCTGACTGCTCATCTACACGGTGTTTTCCCACCTCCATCCGCTCCTCTGCCTGTTCTTCCCTAGTTAACTGCCTTCTGGACTCCCCCTTAAGGCTGCTAGACCCTTTCTGAAGCAGATGACCTGCCCAAAGCGAGTCCTTTGTGCTCTCCTCTCCTGAAAGAGGCTCACAACAGTTTTCTTTAAAGTCTTCGTTTTTTTATTGTCCTGCCACTTGATTACCAACCAGCAGCCAGTGGTGCGCAAATACCAGTACATGGACTGGTGGCATCAGAATCACCTAAGGAGCCCGATCCCAGATACTCTTCAGTCTGGAGCAAGGCCAAGGAATCTGCATGTTAGCGTGCTCTCCAGTTTATGCAGTGCTCTAATTCCCTGATCCTGAGCCAAGCCCTAGATTCTTGACTTTTGTCTCCTAATATTGCCTTCCATTAAATCCTGGATGGACTCTAAGCTCCTCTAGACCCCCACACCACCATCTCCCCCCAACCCTCCCAGAAATTCTTAGGGTCTTTACTTACCCGTTATGGTCTTCCTAAAAAGTTGCAAGTTTGATTAACTGATTTATTTTTTTAAGTTTGTTTATTTATTTGAGAGAGTGTGCTCACATGTGAGCGGGGGCGGGGAAGAGAGGGAGAGACAGAATCCCTAGCAAGCTCCATGCTGTCAGGGCAGGGCCCAGCTGGGGCTTGATCTCCCCAACCTGAGATCGTGACCTGAGCCAAAGTGAAGAGTCGATTGCTTAACCGACTGAGCCACCCAGGCACCCCCCACAAGGTTAACTTATAGACTTAGCCTGCCAGCCTCACACCTTGGAGATTTCTATTTGAAATGCATCGTTTGCTAAGCCCTGAAGACTTCACTCTCAGAGTCACAAGCATGAAGAAGAGGATACTTACGGAGAGAAATGCAGACCTAAATTTAGGGATTTCAGTGCACTGAATATAACTGACATCCTTCCTGTGCCAAGATCTGGGTCTCCATGTGCCCTGTAACAGGAAACCTGTCTCCCTGGAGTTACACTCACATAAAGCTTGGAATTACTGAGTTGCCTTGTGACCTTCTGAGCAGCCTACTAATTTAACCCCTGGCCCTGTAGAACTCTCTCCCCTGTTGTCCTGCCCTCCCAACTTGTAAGCTGGTGTATAGAGGAGAGAATCCACTATTTTCTGGATGAAAGTTGACTTTCCAGTTGATACACAAGAGCATGGCTTCCTCTGACCAACTTACCCTTTCTAGTGACATGTATGACCACTAAGATACGAAGTTCATGAACTGGGAAGACAGAGCTTTCCATTCTTCCCTGGGAGCTCACTGCCCAAGCTACACAACTTCCCTGATCCCAGCAAAGAATGAATTTGTGATTGCAAGGCCAAGGGGCCCCCCCCCCGGGGGGGGGGGAGGTGGAGCACAGCTTAAACAAAAAAGAGCGAAAAGATCTGGAGTTCAAATAGAGTTAATAGGGTCAAATCGAGTTAATAGCTCTATTAGCTCTATTAAAGTCGAGTCACTTTACTTCTCTGAGTATCAGTGGCCCCATCTGAGTGCGAGTCTTCTAGAGTACCTAGCCCACCACATGTACTCAGGAAATGTTTATTCTTTGTTATTCTTTCCTTTCCTCCTAGCAAAAGCTATTCAGGGGAATTAAAATTCATCCACTCTTCCCATCTTTTTTGCTGAATTACTAACCAAGAAGTTTTAACTTCAATGCTTGCTTGTAATATTAAATAATTATAATAATGCTTGTAATAAAAATATTGTTTTATAGACCATTTGTAGGACCCTTAGCTTTAATGCCTTGCATTACAAATTCTGATTTTACTATAGTTTATGGTCCCAATCAGTAAAATATTTTGACTATGTAGCAGTGATGCCTATTTGTTTTCTAGACACGCTTTAAGAATTCCAAAGGGGCTGGGCGCCTGGGTGGCTCTGTCAGTTAGGGACAGACCCTAACTGACCTAACATACAGCATCTAACCCCAAATCAAGAACCTATTCCTTGGCTGGGAATAGAAAACAAAGCAAGGAAGCAAGGAAGGGAGAGAAAAAACAAAACAAACTTTTGTTCACACAACTTCATGTATCATTTCATTTCCTACGTTTAAAGGCTTGATCTCCCTTTCCCTAGAAGTCTTAGAAAGAAGAAAGGAACCCATCTGTCCAGCGGTTTTAGTAACACGGAAATGAACCTTATTCTTCCTACTTTAGAAGGGATTGAGTTGTGGTCGCTCTTCAGGGGACAGCCACCATGCTGCCCCTTTATCCACTTACACCCAAGGAAGTAGCCTTTTCTCGGTAAGAAGACGACTTGAAAAATCAGATTTAACATTTTTTAAGATGCTGAATTTAAAAATCAGCCAATTACCTACATTAAAGCACATTTGTTGCCCATTTTTCTCCTCTGAGACAGCCTGTGTTCATTTTCGGCTGCTGCTATAATGGCTCCTGAGGAACTGAGGCCCTCAGTCCAACAGCCCACGAGGAACTGAAGTGTGCCAACAGCCACGTGAATGAGCCTGGCATCGCACCCACCCCTGTGGAGCCTCAAGATGCCGGCAGCCTGGGCAAAACCCTGAGCAGGGGCCCTGGCTAGACTGCACCCAGGTTTCTGACCTGCAGACACTGTGAGGTACTAAGTTTTGTTGTTTTTCAGCCACTAAGTTTGGGGTAGTTTGTATGCGATGTTAGATAACTAATACATGCCACCAATGGATTTAATCAAACTATCAGTTTTAAGGCAAAGCTCAGTACTGCTGAGACAGGCTCAGGGCGGCACCCACCCTGCACTTGGACCCTCTCTCACCTCACAGCGTAGGTGTACGTGCACTTGACACAAGGGCTCTGTGTGTGGCTGGAGTGCCCATGAGGAAGCTGAACAGTGCCACTGCCCACCCCAGCTATCTGGAGCCACCCCAACCCCTCACTGCCTGACTAGAGTGCCCTCCCCTCAAGACTTGATAAGTAAAGGGGTGCCTGGGCGGCTCGGTTGGTTAAGCGTCCAACTTTTTATTTGGGCTAACGTCATGATCTCACAGTTCGTGGGTTCGAGCCCCGCGAGGGGCTCTGTGCTGACAGCATGGAGCCTGCTTGGGAATCTCAATCTCTCTCTCTCTCTCTCTGCCCCTCCCCTGCTCACACACACTCTCTCTCAAAAATAAATTAAAAAAAGACCTGATAAGTAAAATTGCTATCCATGGGCGCCTGGGTGGCGCAGTCGGTTAAGCGTCCGACTTCAGCCAGGTCATGATCTCGCGGTCCGTGAGTTCAAGCCCCGCGTCAGGCTCTGGGCTGATGGCTCGGAGCCTGGAGCCTGTTTCCGATTCTGTGTCTCCCTCTCTCTCTGCCCCTCCTCCGTTCATGCTCTGTCTCTCTCTGTCCCAAAAATAAATAAACGTTGAAAAAAAAAAATTAAAAAAAAAAAAAATTGCTATCCATACCCCTCAAAAAAACTGCCCCAAATGATCCTATGTGCAACTAAACCTTCTTTGCTCCCTAAAAGACAAAGGGGAGGAACTTCATCCTTGAGAAGGAAAGAGTGCAAGAATCTAGTCCTGTGGTCAGACCAGAACTTCCAGAGAGGGAAGGCTTGACTTACTATCTAGAGCAGCGGTCTCCAAAACAAGCAAGAGAATCCTCTGTGATGTGGGAGAAAATACTATTTTTTATCAAAAAGAAGAAGAAGAAGAAGAAGAAGAAGAAGAAAGAGAGAGAAAGAAAAGAAAAAGAAAGAAAGAAAGAAAGAAAGAAAGAAAGAAAGAAAGAAAGAAAGAAAGAAGGAAGGAAGGAAGGAAGGAAGGGAAGGAAGAAAAAGAAAAGAAGAAAAAGAAAAGAAAGAAACTAAGTTTTACTGATATCGGCTCTACAAGCTGACCCTGGGACCCGCTTAGTCCATGGGGGCCCACCAGTTTTAGGGAACTGACCGTGAGTGGGCCCAGGGCAGAAAGGCAGGCAGTGGCCTCCTTAATTCATTGCTGGAGAGTGTCACCGTGTGCTACTGCAGATGTCAGGCCCTGGTTTACAGAAGTTCTCATTATGTTACCTCTGTGTTAATATCAACCAAAATTAACCCTGGACGAATGGGAAAGGGCCTGAACACTGCTCAGAGACTGCAGTATGAATGCTGATATGTGAGCACCGGGGAACTTTAAGAAAATGGCAGAGATGATTCTGTCCCTGTCCCTACTGTGGCAGCCATATTAATCACTTTACCTGGTCATAACATTTAGCAGGTCACCAAAAAATATGAAAAATTATCAAGAAGATACTTTGAAGTACAGCAAAATTTGCCCAGAGCATATACCGTGCCTTCAGAGATCTGCTGGTGGCAGTAGAACCTGTATAAAACTTCTAAATACGTTATGTGCATGCAGGTATGTATGTAAATAGATTCAACTTTTCACTAGGAGGGTACCTCATCAAAAACATTTGGAAGCCATGGGTCTACAGGATTCTGTGACATTTTCTAACCTAAATATCAGAGCACTTGCAGGGCCTCCCTGATTGGGAAATGTGCAGGGTTAAGAAGAGAAGAGAGAAACGAGAAAACAAAATAACTAAGTTTATTTGTCCTCCTCCGCGGAACATTTTCCCTGAAAGCCTCCCTGACACCGGGCCCAGCTCCCACGCTGAACGAAGAGGAGTCTCCCCACCCTTTCCTTCCCCAAATAACCCAAAGCTTTTCACACAGAAGCCTGAACCAGGTCAGAGCTCCAGACCTCGGCATGCCTTCCACGCGTACCAATTTGAAAATGTCCAACCTGCCACAGGAGAGGCTGCCGGGGGTGGCCTTCAGTTCTGAGACGAAAGCCCGCTGCCTGCCCACGGCTGCGGTCAGCGGGAGGACGCTGGTCCTTTCAGAAGGAAGGGCTTCGCTGCCTCCAGGATGTCCAGTTTGGGGTCCAGGGAGCGGCCAAGCCCCTCCAACACCATGATGGCGAACACAATGGAGGCGAAGTTGCTCTCTAGCTTTACCTGAAACAGAAAAACTGGTTCTTGCCAAAGCCCACTGAGAGAGAGAGAGAGAATCCTGGATAACCTGAGAGAGAGAGAGAGGATCCTAGATAACCTGAGAGAGAGAGAGAGGATCCTGGATAACCACTCCATGCCTGTGATTTCTACCACCTACCTACCACTCCTCTCCCGACCCCATCGTCTTCCCCACCATCATCTACTCCCCCAACCTCCCCTCTACTAGAAATATTGACGGAAAATCTGGGGGATGAAGCACGTACTTCTCTAGGGGTGTGTGTGGATGAATGACTTAAAAATGATAAAATGCCTATTTCACAGCTGCACGAGGGTCATCCTTCAAGAGCTGCAACGGCCTTTGTGAGACCGAGCAAGAGGCTTTGCTCAAACAGCATGGCTGCCTCCCCTTTGGAGCCCGGGGAATAGTAGCAGCGATTTAAGTAAATTACTCAACAAGTCCGCAAACATACTGTTCTCCACATGCTAGAGAAAGGAAGCTCAGGTGCAGGGTGGTTAAGTGATTTATTCCAGGCCGCTGCATGAGGTAGAGGAGAGCCAGAATTTAAACCTGGAAGAGCAAGAATCTGCTTTTCGAGAGCACAGAAGGTCAGAAAATGGAAGGCTGACTCAGGGGGAAATAATCTCTGTTAAAAGTGAAACGTTATTGGGGCGCCCGGGGGGCTCAGTGGGTTAATCGTCCGACTCTTGATTTCGTCTCAGGTCATGATCTCACGGTTCAGGAGTTCGAGCCTGTCGGGCTCTGCGCTGACAGTGTGGATTCTCTCCCTCTCCCTCTGACCCTCCCCCGCTGGCACACACGCTCTCTCTCTCTCTCTCTCTCTCAAAATAAATAAAACTTAAAAAAAAAAAAAAAGGTAAAGGGCATTTGTCTCAGTTAAGACCTGAGAAGTTGTCTGGGGGTCAGGTCGTGCTTCAACACCACCAGAAATGCTTTCACTCTTAAGCTGAGGGGTGAGTTTGTGTTTGTTGTATTCTTTCTTCCACTGTTTCTGACAAATGTATATGTTTTTTAACATTTATTTTTGACAGAGAGAGAGACAGACAGACAGAGACAGAGCACAAGCAGGGGAAGGCCAGAGTGGGAAACAGAAACCGAAGGAGGCTCCAGGCTCTGAGCTATCAGCAAAGAGCCCGACGCAGGGCTCGAACTCAGGAGCTGTGAGATCATGACCTGAGCCGAAGTCATTGCTTAACCGACCGAGCTACCCAGGCTCCCCTCTGGCAAATATCTTATCAAAAATTTAAGTGTCACTTGAATAGACATTTCTCCAGAGAAGATGTATAAATGGCCAACAAGCATATGAATAGATGCTGAACGTCACTAATCACTAGAGAAACGCAATCAGAACCACAAGGAGATACCACCTCACGCCTGGTAGGATAGGCACTAGCAAAAAGCCAGACTGGATCCTTTGTATATTGGTGGCGGACAGGTAAAATCATGCATGGAAAAGCGGTACAGAGCTTCCTCAAAAACTAAAAAAAAAGCCATATGATATAGCAGTCCCACTTCTGGGTAAATATACAAAGAACTCGAAGCAGGACCTCAAAGAAATATTTGCACATCCATGTTCACTACAGAATTATTCATAACAGCCAAGAGGGGGAAGTAGCCCAAATATCCGTGGCTGGATGACCAAATAAAGAAAATACGGTGTAGACATACAGTGGAATATTATTCAGTCTTACAGAAGGAGGAAACCCTGTCACGTGCTACAATATGGAGGCACCTCGAGGGCATGATGTTGAGTGAAATAAGCCAGTCACAAAAGGACAAATAGGGCACGATTCCATTTATACGGGATATCTAGAGTCATCAAAATCACAGAAACAAAGTAGGACGGTGGTTGCCAGGGGTTGCCAGTAGGAAGAAATTAACTGAGAGATGCTGATCAACGGATATAGCTTCCATTTCGCAAATTGAGAAAGTTCTAGAGATTTGTTACACAACAATGTGAATGTGGTGGGCACTACTGAACTATGCATTGAAAATGGTTAGGGTTAGGGTGCCTGGGTGGCTCAGTCGGTTAAATGTCTGACTTCAGCTCAAGTCATGATCTCACAGTTCATGGGTTCGAGCCCCACATCGGGCTCTCTGCTCTCAGCACAGAGCCTGCTTCCCCCTCTCTCTCTCTGCCCCTCTCCCGCTCGAGCACACATGTGTGCGCTCTCTCTCTCTCTCAGAAGTAAATAAACATTAAAAAAAAAAAAACTTTAAAAAATGGTTAGGATAAATGTATACATATATTTTACCTATAAACGTTTTCAAGTTTGTTAAAAAATTAAATGCCTGGTGAAATGTCCAGAATGCGGTACTTGTACTAGGTACTCTGTCGGCTCTCCCATCCTGGGAACAGCAAGGATAAAAGCAAACACTTCAAGAGCTTTTAACCACTGTGTCCCACATTGTGTGTAAGGAAGGCTGTCTGCAGAGTTAGAGCACGGGGGACAGGAGGACAAAGCAGGAAGAGTCCGGGCTCTGCGGTCAGACGGCCGGCACCCGGGTCCTGGCATTACCACAGGCGCCGTGTGGCCGTGGGTTCGTGGCTGGGCCTCTTGGCACAGGTGCCTGCCTTGAGGATGTTGAGGGCTTTAAATGGGAAAGTGACAACATGATATAGGGCGCACACAGGGAGTGCCTGCACACTACTGTGGTTACTCACGGCGGCCCTGGGGGCTGGGAGGCGCTCATTCAGGTCAGAGCTGGTGAGCCTGAGTCTTGGCCGCCTGCTCTGCATCGTGTGCGACTGAACTCCCAGGAGCGGATGTTCAGTCCTGTTTCCCTCCAACCCAACTCCCTAGCAATGACTAAAGCTTCCCCCAACCCCGAGGCCGTATGGAAGCCTCCTGCAAAACAGAACGTGTCAGAAGTTTTGGAAAGCATAAAGTTTTTTACCAAAACCCCACCAACAAGCCAACTCTAGAGTCGAGAGACAGTTGCAGGGGGGCAGGGGGGAGGCTGTGCCACGCACAGTTGGTGGGACGTGGGGAGTCACTTAGTCCTTCCGTGCCCCGTCTCTTCATTCAGATAACACGATAGAAATCAGACCTGCCTGCGGGCATTGTCCTGAGATTTAATGAGAAGCTGGATGCGCAACGGACCCCAGGTGGTAGGCGTCCTACACGAGCCAGCGGCACCTGTTCTCTCATGAATCCATAGGGTACTTGGAGACCCCTGGTCTGTGAGTCTCTTTTGTCCCAAGCATGCCACTACTGCAGAGTAGTCATGGAGCAGCACAGAGAGCACAGGACTGAGAGACCTGGTTATGTGTCAAGTCCCGGCTCCACCGCTGAGGCCCGAGAAAGAGAGCAGACCGGCCTCCCCGCTGTGCCTTCTGTAGAGCGAAGGCGCCGGGCCAGACAACTTTAAGACTCTCAGCTCTGTGCTATGATCCCTGCCAAAGAGCTGCCTCCTCCACGTGGTGTTTTATTACCAGACTGCAGAGCCTCACGGGAAATGATGGGAAAGGCCATCTTCAGAGGAGAATCCTCCCTTCCCCACTCTCAACACCTTGGCTGGCGGCTTCACTCTGAAGAGTGGCCCAAGACCACACTCCATCACGAGCAGAGAGAGCCAAGGCAAAGGCCAAGGTGAAGAACCATGAGGCCACTTCCCCCTAAGGGACTGGGGCAGGAGGCGAAGGCCAGGACAGCCCCACCGGGGCCTCTGAACCCCCCAGGACAAGAGGCACCTCCTCTTGGGCCACCTTTGACCCCGGGACGTTATGCCACACGGGAAAGAGGTAAGTATGACTTACGTTAATACTAAGCATCACTAACAAGAACTGAGGACGGAAAAGGCACGAAAAGCCCGAGTGATGCGGTTATGGCATTTGTGAAGACAGCCGGGTATTTGTCTCTCCAGCTGGGTATCGCGGGTACTTGGGCCGCTCGACCGAGGGGTACTCAGAGTCACCGTGAGAGGGAAACGGCCCGCCGCGCCCGTGTCAGCGAACACGAACAGCACTCGCCACACGAACGTCCGCCAGGACGAGATCGCACGGAGGGGAAGTACCTCCCTCCACCCTGCAGCCACCCTCCGGCTTCCCCAGACGCCTGCCCTCCAGCCTGAGGAGCGTGGAGGCTCAGCTGCGCCTCGGGCCTCACCTTGTGAGTCATCAGTAACTTAAAGACATTCGACAGAAGGCTGGAAACTTGAAGCTGGAAAACAGAATACAACGGACTGTGCGGAGTCCCCACAACCACTTCTGTACCTTCCAGGTCCCTGTCCCACCCTGTCCTACCACCCGCCCCCGCCCACAGCCACAGCCACACACGCACACCCACCCAAACACACACACAGCCACAACCACACAACCACCAACATACAACCACATACACATACACAACCACCCCCACACCACCCCCACACCCACCCACACACATCCACAACCACACACACACACACCCCACCCCGCTGACCCACCCCCCGCAAACACACACACCAGCCGTCGGGAAAGGGGCTCTCGGACAACGTCCAGAAAGGACCGCATACATACAAGCCCAGCTCCCATCGCACAACTGAGTTCCAAGCCCCCCGCCGCAGTCCAGCCTGGGGGCCCGTGGACCCCATCCCTCTCAGCGCACAGAAATCTTAGGTGAATACACCACATGGCCAGTGCCAGTGTGCCAGCTCCTCACTAGAGGGGGCCACTCCTTGCTCTGACTTGCTCCTGCTAGTGTAGACCATGAACTTGGCAAGAAAACGGGTTAGAACTGTGTATAAAACACCGAGTGGGCTTTGGTTCAGCTGTAAATAAAGGACACGAAGGTTAGGCATGTCCTTTGGCTGCTCCGGGGCCTCCGTCCTCCTTCCCTCCACACTCAGCTGAGCTCCAGACACACGCGAAGCTGCAGAAGGGCCACAACCTGGGTGGGGGATGGGTGGGAGAGTGGCACTATAAATGTCCCTGCCCCAGCAGCCACCAGGAGAACCTGGTCGAAGAGTCACTCTTGAGAGCCGGGCCTCCAGTGGGTCGCCTTGCACCCGGAAGACGTGGGCAGAGGAAATGTGCGCTCTGTATCTGCCTTAACGCTCAACCCCACTCAAGACTTCTCCCTGTGAACAGGTCTCCCTTCAACCTCTGCTCCATCCAAGGGCAAGGGCAGTAAACACCCCAAGGCCTCTGCCCCTCAAGTGGCCTGCTCACTTTTTCCAGGGTGATGGTGTTCTTCCTGGCCTGAGTCACCAGGGCGGCCATCTCGGCCTTGAACCGCTCCACGTCCCTGCACTCACTGGCCCGGGCGTGATGCAGGATGAGCTCAGCCACCCTCTGGCCCTGCAAGACGTGAAAGAAAGGAAACTCGGTAGAGTCAAGAGGCCATAAAACTGGACGCTCTGCCCAAACTTCTTTATATTCTAGTTGCTTCCACCTCAGTTTTCTACCATCCTGAACTTTTCTAATTATACCCACTTCAAAATACCTGGTGACCAAACAAAGACTTTCAAAGCCTCTGTCGGTCGCTGGGAGCCCACAGGCTCCAGTGCAGTCAGGGCAAGGGGCTGTGTTTGCCTCCTTCACCTTCAACAGCCACACAGGGGACGGGGCAAAACCAGTGCCCTGCTGCTCGTGCTCCACGAGGCACTGCCGACCAACCAGCCCATCCCCCAGAGTCACCAGGACCTGCTGCTGGACCGGACCAGCCACACTCTCCTCGTGGGCTCTCTCCCTGCCCGAGGAGAAATCCCTCCTCACACCCGACCTGACCTCTGCACTCCAGCCTTCCGCCTCCTCTGCCCAGGGCGCCCTCTGACCAGAGAGCCTCCCGGTCTCCCCGAACACCCGAGTGATCACTACAATGCCTTTCACCTCCCACAGAGCCACCCCAGGAGCCAAGCTCTGTCTCCCCAACTTGCGCAGGGGAACGTCCCCCCACCCTCCACCTGCCACTGCACCTCAGTGTTTAACCTTGGCCCAGGGGATGCTTTCATACGGTCTCAGGCTCGAGCCTTTGGTTTGTTCCCTTAGAAGCCTCCTAAATAAGCAGAGCCTCCCCTGAATTTTGCTGTTTTGTTTTTTAAACCAGCTCTCTCTTTGGCAGGGTCTTTTTTGCTAGAAAATTCCACATCATTGGCCAGAGGGTTTCTTCATTGTCACTCTTGATGTAGTACCTGAAATTGACTCTGTGGAGGTTTTGCTGAATCCCTTTCTGTAAATAATCACTCTCAGCAACTGGAGCCCCTCCGAGCCACAGGGTTGGGGGTTAAAGACCACTCCAGATTCCAAGGTTTCTCCCCACACTTGGAGAGTAGGTTCTCTAAGCTGCTGCTTCTCACCAGCCTGCCGTCTTGCAGCAAATGGCACAGGCCAGGCCAGCCGTTATTCAGACGAGAAGCCAGCATTCCCAGTGCCCACCCACATGCCTGCTGAGGAGGGAAGAGAAACTACCAGTACGAAACAGCATTCGCGATGCTGTCCCAAACTGTGAGCTGCTTAGAACGGGCGTCACGCGTGGGCATCGGCGCGTTCTGACCAAAGACCCCTTGGAGAGCTTCATTTCCTCTCCTCTCCTTCCCTCTCCCCGCTCCACTCCACTCCACCTGCGTCCATCAAGAGCACCCCTGGCCAAGGCAGGCATTAACAAGATTGACAAGGGAAACCCCACGGTTTCCAAGAGCCTAAAAGATCATCTCCGATTCCTGCCGGCCCAGTGGGTCTCACCTGGCCCATCGCCACAGCCATGAAAACTGCTCGGAAGTTGCTCAGGTCGGCATCCTGCAGCTCGGCCACGATGCCGGCATCCAGCAGCACCAGGCGCAGCGGGCATGGGGCAGGTGTCATGGCCATCACCAGCGTATCGCAGACATCCACCTGCTGCAGCCGTGCCTCTTGACTCTTGGAAAGACCGTCGGCGCCCTGGACCAGGATATTCCCAGGGTGGAGGTCTGCATGGACAAAGTTGTCCACAAATATCTGGAAGGAGATCAGTGCTATTCAAGGCTGAGACACCACCCATCACCATCAGACCACACATGAAAAAGCTTCCGGGACAGGGGTGGGGGCTGCCTGGGTGGCTCAACCGGGTAAGTGTCCGACTCTGGGTTTCAGCTCAGGTCATGATCTCAGGGTTCACGGTTTGTAAGTTCGAGCCCCACATCGATTGAGTACAATGGCAAAGAGGTGTACATTTTATAAAGCCTCGTGGCTTCTGTTCTCACTTCAGAATTTGTACTGCCGAAGGTCAGGTTGACATTTTTAAGAGAAAAGTTATTCTCAAAGTAAAGAACATTAAAAAAGATTAGAAGGGAACATGAAAAATCAAACGCCAAACTGCATTTCAAAGGACTTATTTTTATACTGTAGTTTGAGCAATTGATATTCTAATTACGAATTATCTACTCATTGTTTAAAGGTTCCCCCAAATTCTATGTTCTTAAAATTCGTGGAACCACCTTTTTAGGAAAACATTTCATTAATCAGACATCCCCTCCATTCCCTCCATCCGTCCACACGGTAGAGTCTAACCATGATACCAACAACCCACACTGGCACACAGCATCGGGTGGGTGGGGAGAAGTGGCTTCGAACCTACTAAGCAGGAAAGGAAGCCCCAGGACGATGCCGGACAGGAAGTCAGGTGTGACTTGGTGGGACAGGATCTGCCTCCTATGAAAGCTCATCTCTGTGGTCAGAAACCACCAGCAATCCTTCCAAAGGGGAAGAAGAGCCTCAGAGGCTCTCAGGGACACCCTCCTACCTCCTACTGGCTGCAGACCCAGGCCAGAGGCCCTCCTAGGCCAGGTTCTGGCTGTGAAGGAGGTAAGAGAGGCCGCTGCCCTGGTGAAAATCCTGGAACTAGAGAAGCCAGGGCTGGCACACCCGCAGGATGTGGTTTCCAGAGGCTGGCTGACCCCTGACCCCGGGCTGAACCTCCTGGCACCTTGCTGTCCCCTTGGCCCCCCAGCTTTCACCCCCACCCTTGATTCTGCAAGCTGGAACCCATCACGATCGCCCCAATTCTGCGTGCTATTTCCTGCTGCCTTCCCCCCTGGCTGCCCCCACCGCACCCTCCCCTCTGACCCAAGGTGCCCCTTGGAGCCCTGTTGCTGGGGACAAAGTCCTCTCCCCACTGAACTCCCACTGCACCGACTGAGAGAACACCCAGCTCTCCCCAGACAATCTGGCTTCTCTGGGAGTAGCTGGTGGTAGGGGGGGTGGGGGGTGGTGCTGCTGACTTTCCACCAGAGGCCAGAGGTGGAGTCGAGGCCTGCTCTGAGCTCCTCTTCTCACCCCTGCCCTGCTCTGGCCACTGGCCTCGGCCCCCACAGCTCCATGCCAGTCACACAGGTTCTTTCTTCCCACTCTGCCGACACACCTGGTTCCTTCTTACCCGTATTCCACATGCTGCAGACCTGGGCTCATATCCTCTCTCTTGCCGACAACATGCCATCCATCCCTCAACCACTCCCTTCTGTGCCAACTGCCAGGGAGAGTCCAGACCCTGGATAACCTCAGTACCTCAGTACCCACTTTCTTTACTCCTACACGTGAGCTGCCATCAATCCCAGTTGCTGCTGTTAGTACTAATGATGACAGCGGAAGCTAATACTGCTTAGGGCTCACTGTGTCCTTTTACGGGCGTCAGCTCATTTACATCATTAGGCTGAGCCCTCGTAGGTGACACCTAGACTTCCTCTACATCTCAGCTCAGATGGCATCGCTTTCTGAATGAATCCTGAGGCTAGGATGGGCCCCACCTAAATGACCCTCTTGTGCCTGTGTATCATTTACTCATTTGTGGCCTGTCTTCCCAATGAGTGACAGTTCCATGAACGTTGTGATCATATCTGTTTCACTCACTACTGTAAAGTCAGCACTCAATTTAGTTCATTGAGCACAGAGAGGGTGCTCCATAAACACTGCTGAATGAATGAAGTACCATTTAATATACGGTATCTTCCGCTGTTTGTCTAAACTGTAGGCAACTTGGGCAGAGCCTGGGTCTTGCTCCCCACTCTTCCCACAGCACCCTGCACGGTGACCAAGCACATGCCACCAAGAAAGCGCTTACCAGAAAGATGTAGAATGAATGGTCGTGGTGGGTGGCTCAGCTCTTCCTAGAGCAGATTTTCAAGATGGCGGCTTGCTGCTTTCCTCATCTTCCCGCCCATGGGAGCCAACCAGTGTCTCCACCATCTTCCCACGTGAGATTTGACCACATGCTGGGCTGGGGCACCCTCTCCATGCCCACGAACTCACCATCTTCAGAAGCATGTTGATCCCCAGCCGTGCAATCTTCTTCTTCAAGTCTACAGGAATCCCCGCCTGCTGGTAACTGGACACAGGCACACTTTCCTTGAAGAAAGGTCAAGGAAGAGACAGCTTTACCCTGAAAAGCCCGCCGAACACCCCACGTGTTCCGCATCCCCACATGACACATGGGCACTGCCTTCCCATCCCTACTCTTCTCAAGAGTTTTTCCTTCCTTAGAATCCCTATGAATCTGTCACCCACAAGTTAATTTTAATCCACTTACTTATCCCTTCTAGAACACTTCTCAAAGGAAAACAAGTCCCATTTTACAGAGGAAACCCACAACTCTGCCCCCCACAGGTAAGAGATGCTGTAAGATGGTGGGAGAAGACGTGAACAGACCCCAGGAGAACTAGATTCTGATCAAGAGTCAGTCAACAGGGACGTGAATGAGCTCTATGGCCTTGGGCAGGGAAATGGAAAGGACGATGAAAGGGCAGAGACAAGAAAGAGCTAGTAAAGAAACAGTTCTCACAGGTTAGTTATTTAATTGTCAAAGCAGCCCGCTAAGGCAGATCTTGTTATTCCTCGGGAGCAAATAAAAGAACTAAAGCCCAGAGAGTTTAAATAACTTACTCAAGATCACACAGCTAGTAACACTGGGTCATTCGTGTCACTTCCCTGGATCTCACCATTACTATCTTTACAAAGGAGGCTGAACCAGGCAACAGCTAAGGGCAATGATGTGACACAAACATTTGCCGAACACTTTCTCTGTGTAAACTCTGCTGAAGGCATTTTGTATTCAATGTGTCACTGTGTCCTAGAACAACCCTATGAGGCAGGGGCAGGTACCTGCTGTTATACACCAAGAAACCGAAGTCACCAGCAAATAAAATGGAAAGCAGTTTTTCCGACAGAACGGAAGAAGGTATTTGCAAACGACATATCAGATAAAGGGTTAGTATCCAAAATCTATAAAGAACTTATCAAACTCAACATCCAAAAAACAAATAATCCAGTGAAGAAATGGGCAAAAGACATGAATAGACACTTCTCCCAAGAAGACATCCAGATGGCCAACCGACACGTGAAAAAATGCTCAACATCACTCATCGTCAGGGACATACAAATCAAAACCACAACGAGATACCAGCTTACACCTGTCAGAATGGCTAACATTAACAACTCAGGCAACGACAGATATTGGTGAGGATGCAGAGAGAGAGGATCTCTCTTGCACTGCTGGTGGGAATGCAAACTGGTGCAGCCCCTCTGGAAAATAGTATGGAGGTTCCTCAAAAAATTAAAAATAGAACTACCCTATGACCCAGCAACTGCACTACTAGGTATTTATCCAAGGGATACAGGTATGCCGTTCCGAAGGGACACACGCACCCCAATGTTTAGAGCAGCACTATCAACAATAGCCAAAGTATGGAAAGAACCCAAATGTCCATCAATGGATGAATGGATAAAGAAGATGTGGTGTATTTATGTATGTATGTATGTATGTATGTACATACGTACAATGGAGTATTACTCGGCAATCAAAAAGAATGAAATCTTGCCATTTGCAACTACGTGGATGAAACTAGAGGGTATTATATACTAAGCAAATTAGTCAGAGAAAGACAAAAATTATACGACTTCACTCATATGAGGACTTTAAGAGACAAAACAGATGAACATAAGGGAAGGGAAGCAAAAATAGTATAAAAACAGGGAGGGGGACAAAACATGAGACTCTTAAATATGGAGAACAAACAGAGGGTTTACTAGAGGGGTCTGTAGGAGGGGGCAATGGGCTAAGTGGGTAAGGGGCGTTAAGGAATCTACTCCTGAAATCATTGTTGCACTATATGCTAATTTGGATGTAAATTTTAAAAATAAATTAAATTTAAAAAAATAAAATAAAATAATAAAGTAAAATAAAATCTCTGTCAATTTGATATATGAAGAAAAAAAAAAAAAAAAAGAAAGCAGATTTTCAAGTCCAGAAAGTCTGAAGCCACGCCCAGGCTCCCAGCCACCCTGATACACGACCTCCCTGCCTCATGCCACAGCTGAGTTGCCCTCAGTTTCTCTTGGCTTTTGCCCTTTCAGACTGAACAGCGGAGATGGCCCAGCTGTGAGTGGAAGGCACGGCCTGGGAAGCGCTCACTCTTACTTCATAAGTTTCCACCAAGACGTCCCTGGTGACAAAGGGACGCAGAGGGGTGGGGAATTTGACGGAATTCACATTCAGGAAGTTGCACTGGAAGTGTTCTAGGTTCCGAGCTTCGTAACGCAGGTCGATCTAGAGGGAAGTGGAGAGAAAAGATGAGGGGTAACCTGGGCCCAGGGAGAGCAGTATCTGGATGGCCAGCAAGCTAGTGAGTCACCACGTGCAGCGGCCTTCTGCACCTGCCTTCTTGCAGAACTCCTCAGGAGACAAGGGAGGGCGGTTCTGGCCGCGGGAACTCCTGGAAGCCACAGCTGCAGACCCCCTCGCCGCACTTGGGACTCCACTGCCTCCCCGCCATTCCCTCTCTGCCCACCCCACGTGACTCCAGGCCACGGAGCCCTTGCCCATGTCCCAGGGCTTTCTCTCCCTTGCCCTCCGGTGGCCCTCTGGCCTCCCTAGACCTGTCCCCCTCTTAAGGTCCACCTCCATCGGGGGCCGGCGCTGCCCTCTGCCCACTGCGCCGACGCAGCTCCCTCCGCTCGGCAAGCCGTTCCCTTGCCACTCAAGGGACCGCTCCCATCTCTCCAGGCACCTGCTACCGGTGCCCTTGATGACCCTGTTCCTCCTGAACAGTTCTCTTGGCACCCACCCTTCCCTCCCCCGGTCTTCCCCCTGCCTCCACCCGCTCCGTCTAGGTCTGGTCTCCTGGCCACTCCTCCCCTGTGTGCCCCCACGCGGTCTCAGCTGCTGACCTCTGCCAGCCTCCACTCTCCCTCTCCATCCCCTCACGTCCTCAGCCAGCACCTCCTCACGACAGAACCGTGGTCTCCCGTCCAGACCCCGCTACCAACTCCACACTTCTTTTCCTAGAAGCCCACACTCCGTGTCTTGAATGGAGTCCACCCTTGAACACCCTTGAACTCCACGTCTCAACGGAATTTACTCCCCCCGCCCCCCATGCAGCCAGTCACCTGGGAGTCACTGCAGATTACCCCTCTCTTGTCCTCCACACTATTTGTGACTCCAGGCCACCAAGGCTGCAGCCACACCTCTCTCGGATCCACTTCCCCGTTTCCCCCCTCACTACAGCTCCCAGGGTGACTCCCAGCCAAAAGAGGCACTGGGCTCCTTGACCCCCATCTTCCGTCTCTCTAATCCATCTGCCGGTGCCCCCTACCACCTGTAGGACGAAGTCTAAATTCTTTAGGATGACATCCAAGGTGGCTCACTGTTTGGCCCCCACGGCTCTCTTCAGCTCCATCTCTTTGTGCCTCCTGCTTCCTCCGCCTCCCAGAACTCTAGCTTCAGCCAGTCTATACGGTGCTGAACATCCTGGCCTGCCTCAGGCTCCCCATCCCCTTCGCCTTCCTTAGTCCCTCAGACGGGAATGTTCTTCCCCCATTTGGTCCAACTGTAAACACCACTCACCTTTCAAGACTCAGCTGGAGTCTGCGGAGCCTGACCCTCAGGATAGAATGACCACTTCCCCTCTCGGGCCCCAGCTCCACCCAAGTGAACCTGGAGAGACTCCTACTATTACCGGGATCGTGCTCTTTTTGCAGATATTTATGGGCCAGTCCCCTTCTGCGTACTATATATTCCTTATGGACGAGAAAATCTCACCCATCACCCCATGGTGTCTATCGGACTTCGAGGAGGGGTGGTAGGAATGACAGTGACGCAGAGATGGTTGCTGGCATAGAAGCTATTTCCTCTATTTTGATTTTCTTTTATCATGGAAACTACATCGCCGGCAGCATAAAGCAAAGCTTTCTAAACATTCAAAGGCATCCCCGGGACTTAAAACCTTCCATCAGAGGACAGAAATGAAGACTGAGCACCTTGCTTTTGAAAGACGGCCAGTTTCTGCACTCTCCAACAGGGAGCCAGTGCACTTGCCTACTTGAAGCCCCGGCTGCCCCCAAAACATGTTCACCAAGTCCGGCTACTTAAACAAGTATCCCAAGGGTCCTGGACAGGGAGCAGGTCCTTGTCTACTCAAAAACCCTGGAAACGAAACAAAGCAAAGGCACAGTGTGTGACTTCACCAATTCTTCTCGCCCTGGAGATCAGCCATCGATTGTGGCACAGATAACACAGATGACACAGATAACACCAGGATCCTGGGACTTTCCTCCCAGGCGCTAAGGAAGATGGTGTTTCCCAGGCACCCTTGCGGTGACATTGGGCCCGTGCGATTAAAGCTCTGACCTGTAGACTAAGAAGGCCACAGTGGCCTCTCTCTCCACTCCACACGGACCCTAGATGACCCAGGTTGAAGATGGCAGCACCCAACTTGGGAGGAAATTGGGTCCCTGGATAACCATGAAGTAGAGTCCCCTCTCCCTCCTTCGGCTCATCTGCATGGCACTTTGATACAAGAAATAACCTCGCTGCACTTGGCCTCTGAGATTGGGGTATTCTTTGTTATGTCAGTTAGCAGTACCTACCCTGACTGCTACACCACACGAGCCACGACATTCTAGGAAATCACGCATTCGTTCAGCATTTACGAAACAGCCAACGGCAAGAACTATGTTAGATGCTATTTACAACCGAGGGAAGGAGGCTTCACCTGATGGACCATGAGCTTCTCAAATTCCTCCACAATCTCCGGCAAGCTCAGCCACTTGACTCCTGGCAAAAGCGCGAGGACTCGGCTGCCCGTCTTCATCAGCAGCAGGTCCATCTGTACCTGAGACAGCAAGCCAGGGTGCAACACCTGCCGGGAAGACAGACAGAAGAGGGATCAGGAGGGCACATTCACCCAGACAGGGCTGGGTCCCACCATCAAAGGAGAGCCAAGCCCGATGCTCATCAGAGCAAAACCGGATGTGGTCCCGACAGCGACAGCCGGGATGCTCCTGCCGCCCTCACTCCCATGTGCCTTCGATAAGGAGATGCTCAGGGCAACTCCTCTCTGCTGCACTTGGCTTTGCTGGGAAGAAGAGACGGGCTTTTCCTTCCAAATACATTAAGGTTAGGTCAGTGGCTCCCAAACATTAGCATGCATAAAAGTCACCTTGGGGTGCCTGGTGACAACAAAGACTGCTGGGCCTCCTTTAAGACCTAGTGAATCACCTACCCTGGGGATGGGACCAGAAATCTGCATTTTACTGAGAGAGCGCACCAGGTAAATGAGTCAGGTAGTCCAAAGCCTGAGCCGGATCCGGATCTAGAGTCACAGAACTCCAGCAAGGATGCACCACGGTGGGACGGGAAGAGTCTGCTTTCAAATGCCTGTTTATTCTGCAACTCTTGCCCAGTCCGAAACTGGGCACGTACTCAACCTCTCAGCCTCCTGTTCCACTTTTTAAAGTTTTCTGGCTTTTCTTCCTTTTTCTTTTTAGAGAGAGAGAACACATCCAAGTTGGGGAGAGGGGCAGAGGGACAGAGAGAGAATCTCAAGCAGACTCCATGCTCAGCGTGGAGCCTGATGCAGGGCTCGATCTCACCACCCTGGGATCACGGCCTGAGCCAAACTCAAGAGTCGGACACTCAACCTACTGAGCCACCTGGGCGCCCCTGTTCCACTTTTGAAAACATGGAGATAACAGTCCCTACCTCCACTTCAAGTCCTTCCCGGAATAAAATGGGAATATAAATAAATCGAAATTAAAGAAATGCCTACTTCAAAGGCATCAAGAACAGATTAAATCATGCATCTAACATGCAGAACATAACATCTGTTCTTTAAGAACAGATTAAATCATGCAGGCACCCACTCCTTGCCTTCCACAGAGCAGAGGATACTTTGGTCCAGTGTTCCCCAAACATGCCTACTCATGAGAATCACTTGCAGCCTTTATAAAAAGACAGGCCTCAGCTTCCTCTCTTGGAAAGTGTGATTCAGTAGGTGTGAACTGAGGAACGCTTGGGAGGTTTTTTTCCAAGGAGGTGTAAGAGAGCATCAGGGGTACCTGCTACCTGGGTCGGCCAGATCCCCGGGGTCATGCTGAAAGGGAATGGAAAAGTGTGGAGACTAAAAAATGATGGAGCCCAGGCAGGGGTGACTAGAAACGAAGAGGGGCGCCTGGGTGGCTCAGTCGGTTGAGCATCTGACTTCGGCTCAGGTCATGATCCTGTGCTCCATGGGTTCGAGACCCGCGTTGGGCTCTGTGCTGATGGCTCAGAGCCTGGAGCCTGCTTCAGATTCCATGTCTCCCGCTCTCTCTGTCCCTCCCCCACTCTGTCTCTCTGTCTCCCAAAAGTAAATAAACATGTAAAAAAAATTTTTTTTAATAAAAAAAAAGAAATGAAGAGACAAGGGAGCCACCTCTGTAAAAATGAAGACTGCCATCTTGGGCTCACCACATGGTATCTAACCTAGACTGTCTGTGACTTACCCTGACCCCAGAGTAGTGGGTCCATTGGGTGGTTCCTCTAGCCACAGAGGCAGCGGACCCCAAACCCTCTTCGTTTTCCTTTACTGGACTATTCACACAACCACTCCCTAGAACCAAGAAATAACAGCTTGCAAAGCATAGGCAGTCAGATAAAGGTCAAGCTAACAGAAATCAGTGGAAGGTAATGTGGGGTGATTTGCAAATGGGGGTTTCTGATTGGGGACAGCTCTGTGGGGTCGGTGAGATTTTAGAGACAGGAGGGACAGGTGACAACATCAGAGCACTTACTTTCACTGCCACAGGGATGAGGTGATCTGGCTCAGATTGGTGGGCAGGTGCTGAAGACTGAGACAGGACTGCATTTGATCCATCCGGGTCAGCGTTAGGGAGGAGCAGCCTTTCTAGAAATGACTGGTCGGCAAGACTTCCTTGAAACTTCCACCCCTTTCCCAGGGGTCCAAAGAGCTCTCCCAGCCTCCGGACTGCCCCAGCTTCTGAAGAAGGCTGCAGACTGGAGGCCTCGGCAAGTCTCTGGATGCTGACATTCTCCAGGAAGGCGGGATTTGCACGTGCTTTGTACACTTGGGCCACACAGCCTGAACCCACAGGTTCCTTCTTCTCAAAGCAGAGGACCCTTCCCCAGTCTTCCCCAAATGCCTGCCGCAGGAAGTGCTCAGTGTGAGTCCAAGGGTGGGGGGTCACCTGGACATGCAGCTTGGAGAACTGGGCACAGAAAGCCTCCGAGAAGAGATCCCGCCGGGTACTGGCCCACTGGCCCAGTTTGATGTATGTTGGGCCCGAGGTCTCCGTGGCTTTCAGAAGCAGATAGAGCCAGAGGCTGGAGATGCTGGGTGCCAGGTAGGTGAGGGGGTAGAAGAGAAGGAGGGGGAAGAATTTCATCAAGAGAGCCCCAGCCCGGAGCCAGATACGGAGGTGCAGAAGGAGGCATCCTAGCGGCCCCTCTTGGGAGACTCTCTGGGGTGGCCCATTTTCAGCTAGGTCACTCCAGCTGGCTCTTTGCTGGCACACGCTCTCAGGGCCCCCCTCACCAACGTCTCCATAGGCTGAGATAAGTTTGGGTAAAGTGCCAAGCAGAAGCCAACAGAGTCTGGCATTACGAGAGCACCCAGATGATCTTAAAAGGCCGAGTTCCTGTCTGAGCTCAAAACCTCTTAGGTATGACAAGCAGACCCTAACAGAAAAACGCCAGGGGGTCACCATCCTCTCCCAGAGGTCCCCGGCCTAGGTTGCCCGCCCTCGACCTAAAGGGCACCCATCTATGTTCACGCTCTGGGCAAGGCTGACATGAGTCCAGGCCACAGCTGAGTATCCCACTTAAAAGTGGGGCAGCAGCGAGATGCGGCGACGCTCAGAGCCCGCGTGGAGGCTGACTACGCGAGTGCAAGCGGTGCTCAGTCTGGCTCCCGGTCCTGCCCTGCAGGGAGCGCCCCCTAGGCCTCGCAGCCCGGCCCCTCCGTCCCGGCTCCACCCCGAGCTCCCTCCCGGTACCTCGCCTAGACCTAAGGTCCGAGGCCGCCTGCGCCTTCGGGGGCTTTCAGAACTGCACCGACTGCGAGGGCCGGAGGGGCCGAGCCAGACGCCAGGCCAGGCCCAGAGCGGGGACGCGACCTGCGGCGAGGTGGCCGCGCAGGCGGAGCCACCCCACTCCAGGTCGCTGGCCGGGCACCCGCGGAGGGCCACAGCGAGGAGGGGCTGCGTGGAGGTGGGGGTGAGGGTCGTGGCGCAGAGCGCGGGTGCTGAGAGCCAGGAGGGAGGGGTGGGGGGGGGGCAGGAAGGTACACCCGGGTCAAGGGATTGAGAGCCGGGACGGTGGGCGGTGCGGACCGCCGAAGACCCAGGCCCCGGGTACCAGGGTGGGACGGAGGCTGGGGCCGGGAGGTGGCGGGGGGGGGGGGGGGGGGCGGGTGCAGAGACCCAACGTTGAGGGCCCGAGGATCCGGACGCCGACAGCGGGAAGGGTGTGCGGAGGGCCGGCGATCGGGTTGGAGAAAAAGGGGGAGAGGGGCGAGGAGAGCGGGAGTCAGGCGGCCGGGGTCCGGGAGCCCAGAGCGGAAAGGGCGTGCGGGGGACAGGGGATCCCGGGGCCGAGGAACCCGCCGCCGAGAGCCCGGGACCGCGTGCGGAGGGCCGAGGACCCGGCGCAGAGGACACGCCGCCCGCGTCTTCCGGGAGCGCCCGGCGCGCCCGCTCGGGCACCTCCCCTTAAAGCGGAAGCGGCGCGGACGCGGCGGAGGCTCGTCCCCGCCCTCCGCTCCTGGACTGCGTAAATAGATTTCGCGCAAAACTCGAAGGGCCCTCCGCGCCTTCCCCTTCTGCCCGTGCTCTGGGTCTCCATGGACATCTTTGCAGCCTTCCTTACAGAAATCGTGGAAACGCGCAGTGAACTGAAAGCCCGGTCTGCACACAGGTTGAGTGTTCAGCTAAGCAGAATGTGAGGAGGGTCGGGGAGGGAGGTGATCCTTGGACCAGGAGTACCAGGCTGCATTAATCTAGGGATGTGTTTGGACATTGGGGAGTGGCTAATGGCATATTCATTTAACTAATGCTTTTTGAGCCCAATACGTAACTCTTAAGCAGAATCTAGTAATATTATCGAGGCTCATAATATGTTCTGTTTTTAATTTTTTCAATGTATTATTATTTATTTTTGAGAGAGAGAGAGAGACAGTGAATGAGCAGGGGAGGGGCAGAGAGAACGGGAGACACAGAATCGGAAGCAGCTTCAGGCTCTGAGCTGTCAGCACAGAGCCCTTTGCGGGCTGGAACTCATGAACTGCGAGCTCATGACCTGGGCCAAAATCGGAACCCTAACCCCCTGAGCCACCCAGCCGCCTCGAGGCTCATAATATGTTCTGAACTAGGTATCACGCTAGGCCCGGGGACATGGAGACGCACATCCTGACTTTACAAGCTGATCACTTATGAGGGAGATCCCACAGGGGAACACATAATGTACAATTTCCAAGTGTGACACAGCATGAAAGAAAGGAAGAATCAGAAGAACCCAAAGCATGGCGACTACTTTGGACAGGAAGGGAGAGAGGCGTTAGGAGTGGGAGGGTGTTCAGATACATAAAGAATAAAGTCCTTGGGGCGCCTGGGTGGCTCAGTCGTTTGGGCATCCTGCTTCACACAGGTCATGATCTCATGGTTCTTGAGTTCAAGCCCGGTGTCAGGGACTGTGCTGACAGCTGGGAGCCTGGAGCCTGCTTCTGAATCTGTGACTCCCTCTCTCTGCCTTTACCCCCCCTCACGCTCTGTCTCTGTCTCTCAATACAAAATATTTTAAAAAATAATAATAAAGTCCTCAAGAGGAAGGAGTTGAGTGTGAGGAAGGGGGGGGGGGCGTTGCTTTAACCTTGAAAAGCCAAAGGAAGTTCCCATGGTTCTAGACAACAAGGGGCGGAGAAACAGAGGTGATGGTGGGGGTAGTGGGACGCTAGTGGTGGTGGTGATGGTGGCGGTGAAGGTGCAACTTAAGGAGCTACAGGCACCCAAGCAGGTGAAGTTGAGGGATTCCTGGGGCCCATGTGAATGCCAATGAGCAGAATGATGTTATGCATATTAAGGTACATGGACAGCAAAATCAGTTATATCAAATATGAACCCTAAGTCAGAACCTGTAAGGGGCAGCCTTTAAAAATCGCAGATGTTGCTGCAGTCAAGCTGCTTCTCACATGGGTCATTTTATGCAATCTGTTTCAGGATGTGTAACAGCAGGAGTGTATTTGGAATGATTAATGAATTAAGAGACTAAATATACAAACGGGTGCCTGGGTGGCTCAGTCGGTTAAGCATCCAAGCTCTTGATTTCGGCTCAGGTCATGACCTCATAGTTTGTGGGTCTGAGCCCCACATCGGGCTCTGTGCTGACAACACCGACCCTGCTTAGGATTCTCTCTCTCTCAAACTTAAATAGAGAGAGAGACCAAATATACAAACAGACACTGGCCAGATATATGACGGTGGAACTCTGACCTGCAGCCTCTGCGGTAATAGGTCCTGGACAGTCAGGACTCGGCCAATGACTGCCAGCTTCTCTAATTTTCATCCCCAACTTCCATCTCAGGACCAACCACGGGAAGCCAAATGTCTGCTCCAAACCGGTCACAGGAGATGCCCAGGCCCCTGGCGTCCCTGTGCCAACAACCTCCAATTAGGGCCCCTTTGGTGCCTTTTTTTTCTGTATAACCTGTCTCCACTTGTATTTGAGTCTCTGCCACATGCAAGTGATGATGGCTGACTTCCTTGCTATAGACAGCTCTGGATAAACGGCCTCCGTTTGTTCTCACTTGGGTGGTCTCCGGTTTTTTTCCATAGAATTTTCGTGACAGCTAAGCCCGCTAACTATTCATAGCTTCCAGTTCTCGGAGATGCTCCCGCGTATGCTGTTAACTCTGCTACCACTAGGTGGCACCATTCTCTCGTGACCTGCAACCGAGGCTTCCTCGGGGTTCCCAGACCTGACGGTGCGGGAAGAGAATTGCAAAGGCCCACCTGGCTGTGCTTATCTTTTTACGTGATCCAAATGACTGTGATTTTAGCATTTCCCATGGAACATTGTGACAGAGCAGATGTGATGCAGGGCCAGTGCTTGTTCAAAGCCCCAGGATAGGGGATAAAGATGCAGGATTGGCTGGCTTCAGAGTTCTCAGCCTCAGCACAGTTGACATTTGGGGCAGGATAATTCTTTGTTGCGTGTGAGGAGGGGTGGGCAAGGGGGAGGGGAAACCGAACGGTGCCTTGTAGGATGCTGGAACCCACTTGATGCTGGAAACCCCCTTTCCCGATTATGACTTTAAAATATGTCTTCATGGGGCGCCTGGGTGGCTCAGTCGGTTGAGCGTCCGACTTCGGCTCAGGTCGTGTTCTCGCGGTTCGTGAGTTCGAGCCCGGTGTCGGGCTCGGTGCCAACAGCTCAGAGCCTGGAGCCTGCTTCGGATTCGGTGTCTCCCTCTCTCTCTGCCCCTCCCCCACTCACACTCTGTGCCTCTGTGTCTCTCTCCTTCAAAAATAAATAAACGTTAAAAAAAATTTTTTTAAAATATGTCTTCAAACATTGCCAAATGTTTCCTGGGGAGCGAAGTTGCCCCCAGGTGAGAACCACTGGGCTTAGCTCCTTTGGAGGACAGTTCTCTGTTGAGACCCTTTCAGCCACTCCCCCCTCAACACACATCCTCGGTTTCTTCAGAACAGGATATCAGCGAAGGGAAAGCCCTGAGCACGCCTGCTGCAGCACCCCCTTCTTCATCCTGCCTTGAGCAGGCCCTAGACCAGCGTGTCTCCGGCGGGGACTTGAGCCACCTCCACTGAAAACACCTGGGGAGCTTGTAAAGCTGCAATCCCCGGGCCCCACCCAGCCCCCCTTCATTGGGACCCCTGCTTCCCCTCCCCTCCCAATACAAGGGCCCTATCAGGCAAATAAAAAGTTGGAGAAGGACTGACTCTATCCTGCCCCCAGGTCCCGCTTGCTACACCTGGCCTGCAGTTAGCGCCTAAGAGAGCTGGACCGTGGCATGAAAATGCTGGCCTTGGGCCACCCATGTACATCTACTCCTCAAGCCTGTAGAGTAGAAAATATCAGAAACAACACTGGAAAAGGACAGTCAGGGACGAGGCTGAAGCAGGCGGGCTCGCCCACCTCTTTCCCCACTTGCCACAAAGATCGTCCCAGACCTTCCTCACGCGGGCCCCCTGGCCGCCTTCCGCTTTCTCCTTTCTTTCTCCTTAGCGGGCTTGTCAGAGGAATTGCCCCTCCTCTGGGTCCCGCTTTCTGGCTTTCTGGGGTTGCTCCGGCACCACCCGGGGCAGGTGCCGCTCTTGTGCCAATGCCGGGTGTCCTGGCAGGTCCCTCCCTCCTCGGTGAGGGGCTTGGCCATGCCCACCTTTGAGGCCCCTTTCTGCTCTGCTCTGTGGGGCCCCACCCATGCGCAGCTCTGATGTTCTGGGGCCTTCCACGTCTCTGCTCTCAAACCGGGCCCATGACACCAGTGGCCCCGGCTAGTGGTCCTACTGGCAGAGCCACTCAGGTCATCCTGGGTCAGACGGCTGGGTACTTCCGGGCTCTGGCACTCATTCACAGTGGCCTTGAGCAGGGCACCTACCTCTTTTTGGCTGTGTCTGCATTGGTAAGAGGCTATTAGAACCTCCCTCCTATCTGGTCTCTGCAGAACCTTAACATTACCTGGCAACACTCAGCCATACGGGGAAAAGCAGAAAGAATGAGGACCGGTAGCTGCTTTGTGCTTTTTCTGACTGTTTGAGAAGGCAGGAGCTGGGTGGGGCCTGCAGGCCAAGTGGCCTGATCTCCCCAGACACCTGAGACCCGCGAAAGGGAGGTGCCGTGCCCAAGGTCACACTGACATCTGAGGGCGGTCAGATGTCACTTGGCTTGCCTTTGGGCAATATTTTCTATTTTGCTCTAAGTTGATCTGAGAGATAGAGGAAGCAGATCAGATATTAGGGCCTCCCAGGGGCACCTGGGTGGCTCAGTCAGTTGAGCATCCAACTCTTGATTTTGGCTCAGGTCATGGTCTCACAGTTGTGACATCAAGCCCCACATCAAGCTCGGCATGGAGCGTGGATCCTGCTTGGGATTCTCTCTCTCTCTCTCTCTCTCTCTCTGTGCCCCTCCCCCACTCATTCTTTCCCTCCCTCCCTCTCTCTAAATAAATAAATAAACCTAAGAGGCACCTGGGTGGCTCAGTCAGCTGAGCATCCTACTTCAGCTCAGGTCATGATCTCACAGTTTGTGAGTTCAAGCCCCACATCGGGCTCACTGCTGTCAGTGTAGATCCCACTTCAAATCTTCTGTCCCTCTCTCTCTCTCTGCCTCTCCCCAGCTCACCCTCTCTCTCTCTCAAAAATAAATTTAAAAAGTATTAAAAAAAAAAAAAGATATAGGGCCTCCCAGAAACATGTTCCTTTAAGCGAGGTGTGGCCTCTGAGAGGCAGTGCAGGGATTTGCAATTATTCGGAGGTCTAAAGGCTGAGATCAGGTCCTGGGTGAACGTTAGCCAGGGGGGTTGAGCTGGCAGGTTTTGAGGCCGTGGGTGCAGCACCCAACTCATAACGTTGTGTGATGGAAACGTTTGGAGAATTCTTGCCTCCCCATTCAGGTTTGAGGAGATTGTCTAGCTGGCCAGGAAGTAGGTCAAGGAAAACTCTGAGAAGCAAGACGGGAGTCTTGTGTCCTCAGCACAGTCCAGAGCTGGTCTGACTGACCTGGCATGTTCTGGAATCACAATGAACAGGAAGAGCTAGAACTGCTCCTACAAACAAATCTGTGACTTCAGAAAAGAGAATCTAAACCACCACATTCTTGTGTCCCTTCCTTAATGTTCAACTGGGTCTCCCAACAGGAAGAGAGTGAGTCGAGGGTGTTTGGCTTTGCAGGCCTAACATCTGAAACTGCCTGGCGGTGAACGCTGCAGAATGTCCTTGACTTTGTTCTCTGCTTTCTGTCGTAAACACACTAGTTCTTGTAAAGTGATGAATGCCTCAATTCTTTGTGGGGGAAAAAAAATGACCCTCCGAAGCTCAGGGCATAGAAATGCAACAGATGGTTCTTAGGCAAAAATTATGTTATTGTGTTAGTTGCCAATTCGGTGATTCTTTGAGATTTCCAGGGTACCCTGACAAATGTCAGTGGGTCTATGATGACGAACGTCAGTTACTCCACAGCGCCCCCTCATGGGCCCCCACAACTGCCCGGCTTCCCACGCCAGTACCGAAGGCACCGGGAGAGAGAAGAGAGGGGACAAAGCCATCTCCGCGGAAGACGGGCCCTTCACAGCCAGGATTGGATAAAGGAACCTGAAGCCTTCAGTGTGGGCCCTGCTCACTGCTTCCCCTGGGTGGCTGCGCCTCCGACCCTCCTCCTGGATGACATTTGATTGCGACCAAGAACAAACCAAACCTGGATTTGAAGTTTGGCTGGGATGGTTGGCTTGGTTTTGTTTCCCCAGAGGGAGGCACATGAGGGTTGTGGCGGATAGGAAGGAACGTGCGTCC